TCTACGAGAGTGAGAATACGCAATATATGTTAAGGGTCACCCCTTAGGTAAGTATTGTCATGACTGTAAATATCTATTAGGGCCACTATGGTTGGTATGGTCGTGATCGTAGATTGTACCATCGTTTGGCCAGCCGGAAATGGGCGTGAGCAAATTGTCGTATCTGTATCTGCTCTAGACATTCCACTTCGATAGTTAGAAATCTGTATCTGCCTTCAGATATGAAAATTGTAACGATTTCGCGAAGCATGATACGAAAATCTGAACATTTCATGATTTATTTAATTTTCTCTATTATTTGGAATGATGTATGTTTGATTGTTCATATTAATATATTATTTTCTTAATAAATAAATTATTTTCATAATGTAAGATCGATCTAAGAGGTGGCTAAATGGTAAGCTTTTAAGTTAAAATAATTCACCTTTAAAATCTTACAATATTAATTTAATACTATTTTTCTTACTTAACATATGAAACTCACTCTTTCCATGCCCTTCCCCCCCTCCCAAATGAGGACGAAAATGAGGAACTGCTGGCTGACCTACCATTGGAAGTCTATGAGGATCCCGTGAATCCTCAAAATTTGAGTGCATAATTGTTTCTGTACTCTAATGAACCTAATAGCATAATGAAAGAAGTAGCATTCTTTTGTGTTTTGTTTTTGTATTTTATAGCCACTTCAGGCCTCAATTATTTGTAATATGAATATAAATATATATATTTGTAAGGAATTTATATTAATTGTTTTGTTGTATAAAATTTTATCATGCACTTATTATTCTATATCTGTATCTAATATCTAGTTGCCTTAATTAGCACTTAGGATGTCACAGAGCTTCTCCTTGGTTGTGAGGCATAATAATTTTCTTGTTTCGGGCCAACACTTTTAATAATTTTGAGGTGGAATCCTTCTCTATCTAAGCAAATGTCCAAGCCTGTTTAGTTCCTTATGGGCCCCTAGCCCACTTCCTTTCTGGTCATGGACTTAAAAAGATCTCGTACAAGCAATCTCTGTTCGTGAGCACTTCCTAGCATGCCCTGAAAATACACTATTGCGTGATCGCTTATGGTTTCTTATTTTTTTATCCCCACAAATGCTTGAATTCCGAAAATATTTCCCAACATAGGTCTCCCACTTGTTATAAGGAATTTTCTCATTTGTTATCACATCACTATCTGTATAATATGTGGCAATACTAAAGAGATGGTGAACCATCTTTTAAAAAGTGTGATTATGTTGGTAAAATGTGAAAAATCAGTTCCTTACAACGCTTCCTATCACTTTCCACATCTTACTACGCTTGGTTGAGAAAAGTCGTTTGTAACACTCATATTCACCATAAAGCTTAGTTTATGCTCATTTTGTGAGGAATTTGATTGGATAAAAATATATGGATCCATAATCGATGGTGACCTACACCCAAGTTTAATAGTGTATACTACAAATCTATTATAAGTTGGAAGGGTTGAACGAATTGCACAATATTAAGCAGAGTCCACAAGGTAATACTTCAACGATTCTCCCAATTTTATCATGGTTGGTATCTCCAAAAGGGATTTATATAAATTCATATGCATAAATTGATAAATTGACTGGTTGTGTCTTGATATAAAGAGAGCATTATATGTACCCAATAACACTACAATATTACTAGTATGTCCTGCTTATTCGGTTTCATTGCTTAAGCATAATAGATTTCTTTATGTCAATCCTCAAAAAGTTGGCACAAATTTGAAAATTTTAGTAAAAGCAGTTAGTTATGGTGGTAAAGATGGTGAATTGTAAAGTGTAATTCAGTGGAGCTAACAAAATAGATAGAAGAAAGTTGCATAATAATGTTATTTCAGGTGGTGGTGTTGAGAGTACAATTATACTATAAAATACCAAACAATACAATCCTTTTAATGAAATCGAAAAGCAGAAAAGAAAAAGAAGAATGAATAATAATTATTCAATACACTGACAAGCTTAATCATTTATATAATAATGTCTACGTATATATAGATGAATCTCCATGAATTGATTGTGTAGGGTAGATTATCAGATGTCTCTGTCTCTGGAGCACTCAGGAGGAAGAGTAGGGTACCTAGACCTGTCAGTGCAGTAGTTGTAAATGGTCCACTGCTGACGAACCCAGCGCAGTCTCCGCCATTGATAGGCGTCGAGGTCTTGAAACTCCTTCTGGTCCCACCAACGTTTGCCCTGCGTGGCGCAGAACTTGGCCTCCACCGATGCTTCGCACCCATCCACCTGGAACCCTCTGTAGGAAGCTATGAAGGGTGCCTTGCTCCAATCCGTCTTCTCCAAACCACCACGAGTCGCCCAGTCATCTGCGTTCCACAGGCTCGAGTATATCTTCATTGGCTGGTTGAATGGGAATCTTACACCTAAGTCTTTGCAGTTCTTGAACACTCTGATTGGAACGTCATCGACGAAGAACCTGCAACCAGATATTTTCCAGAAAACCAACCAAATCACCCCTTGGATTCTTTTCTCTCAATGGACCCAGTTCAAACTTTGTTGACTTTGATGTCAAAATTAAACTTTTAACCAAACCGATATTCGTGATAAGTAGTAGGGGAAAAGGAAAGTAAAGAGAGAGAAATAGGATGAAGCGCTGGCAATATGACAGATTCTTTAAACTCCCAATCAAGTTTCGGTCTTGAAATTATGAAATTATTTGAGAAAGATTGGATTTTGTTTCATTCCAACCAAAATTTCCAGGGACACAAGTAATGGGTGTTTTGGAAACACTTCTTCTTTCACTTTTCTTTTCCGACTAAATGTAGAAAGTGATTTAATAAGAGTCAGAGAGATGAACTTACACTATCTGATACAAGTTCCAGAGAACAGAGTAGGAATGGTAAGCTTTGGTTGGGTCAAACCAGAGGTAGATCCTCTGTTCTCTGTCACCTTTCCCTCCACTAAACACATTTGTTTGAAGAATGTAGGGCTGACCTGTCCTGTTCCCCAAGAACTCAAAATCTATTTCATCGTGCTCCGAGTTTTCAGACGAGAGCTGTAACAAGAAACCAAAGAAAAGGAAGAGTAATGTAGAAGGAAGAAAACAGAGGAAATGGGAAAGTAAAGTTAAAAATAGAGAGAACTGACATAGAAGGCAGTCACAGTTCCGGCAGAGTCTCCGGGAACCAACATTATTTGCATACTGAAATGACCAAACAAGTATGTTCCTTTGGATTGGAAACCAGTACCTTTTTAACAAAAGGAAAAACCAAGAGAGTGAATGAGAGAGAGATCCATGGAAGAAGAAAGAAAGAAAGAAAAAAGGGAAGTAGAATGCTTCATACCAGTGTATTTATCGAGATTAAGAAGAACCTCCGAGCCACCATTTAAGTACTTAATGTGATCAAAAGCCCATGTGGGCTTGTAATTTCTTCCAAATGGGACTGGTGCAGGTGGTCTTGGAGTACCTCCCATGGCTCCGGAGACCATAAAGAGAGCACCCAGAAAGAGAACCCACATTTGAAAAGCCATGCTCTGCAACTCAGAGAACAGAGAGAAGATGTGGAAAACAATGGAGAGAAGGGCTTTATGTAGGATTTTAGTTGAACCCTTAACACGTATTATTTGTGTGTTGATGTAGACTGGTGTCTAATTATTATTATTATTATTATTTATTTTTTCAAATACAGGTGGAGACAGAAGTCTAATATTCAAGGTGTAATCATCAACTTTAACATGAAAGAACCATAAAAGAAGACATTTAGATTGAAGATGGAATTAAATAATTATTTTTTAAAATATATCGAAACTAAAAATTAAACTGAAGTGAACCAACTAAAAACAGAAGAAGGAAAATGGCATGTGAGGTAAAAGTTTACGGGGGGAAACTATTTCTTTTATAATTTTTTGTAGTGAATTTTAGATTTGTGGCGGTGGAATTAAAAAGTAAAATTAGGTGGTGTGTTGTGGGCCAGCATTGTATGCTTCTTTTTGTTTATATAAATGTTTTTCGTCAGAACTCTCAACACTCCCATCCCCGATGCCTCCTGCTGGCTCCAACACTCATTACGTCTTTCAATTTCACTTTTCTTGTATTATTATATTTTTAAAAAATAATAATAATAAGTTTTATTTCTTAGACATGTATTACTAAAGTGAAATCTTTTATTTATTTTGAATGTACAATTTTTTTTTTATTTTCTAATAAAAAATTTAATAATATTTCTTATTATTATTAATTTATTTAATTAATTAAAAAATTTTTAAAACATTATTCAAATATGGTTTAACTATGTTAAACTTTTTTTATTATAAAAAAATTAAGTATTTAAAATAAATAAATAATGTTAATGATTAAATTATAATTAAAAAATATTAAAAATTAAATTATAATAAATATCAAATTTTAAAAATTAATTTAATAATTTACTCCAAAAATTAAATAGTACCTGCAAGTTATTATTTAGATAAAATTATTATGTTTGTTCAAAATGTATGGACCAACCTGTAATTTTAAAACTAATAAATCTAAAAGCAATAAGGCCCAAAATCAAGGACCTTCATTATAGTATTATACTCTTTTAAAGAACAATAGTCAGTGTAAGAATAATACAAAATTCATGTAGAAATATTTTATAATTTTTTTCACTTAAAATTTTACACTGATGAAATAATTTGATTTTTATTTTAAAAAATTAGATATCTAAAGATCAGCGATTCTTATGTCATTTTCACAATTATGCCCTCGCATATGACTGGCTCTAACTTGAATGATTCACTCCAATCTTTCTACTGGACTAACATTGTTCACTACACTCACTCCAATTTTAATTTTATTAAATCTGGTGAATAATCTTAAGATAATATTCATAATGACATAAAATTTATTATTGATAAGTTACATCAGTGAAATTATTTTAAAAAGTAGGATAATTAATTTTATTGAACATGATTAGAGATTTTGATACTAAATTGAAAATCAATTTATTATCACAAGTCATAATGAAGGGTATGAAATTTAAAATATAAATTCTGAGCGAAAATTATTATATTTTTAGTTTGTTACAATATATATTCACCCATGTATATACATGTATTTTTCTCTAACTTTTTCCATCTTAGACTGTTGGTTTATTTAATGTTGAGGAGAAATTTTTTCTCATGAATAAGATAAGACACTACCTAACATATGGTGACTAATATTATTTACCTCATGAAAATTAAATAAGTAATATAGAAATTGGGTACTAGAAAAAACATAACCCTAAACTTCATTTAATTATTTTTTTTTTTTTCTACATCTATCTTTTAGAAAATGGTGAATCTTACAATAAAATATTTATCATTATCACTTTCGCAATTATCATTGTTACCATAACTATTTCTATCACAATTATTATTATTGTTATTATTTTATTAACTTCATTGCTACTACATAATTATTTGTGTTCTCCATTGTCACCCTCATTGTAATACCCAGACCCAGAAAATTGGCCCATGATAAATTTTGTTAATTTAGATATGTATAAAAAATATATTTTATAAATTAATTTAATAAAATTTTTGTTATATTTGGAAAAAAAATAAATTAGGGATGAGATTGAAAATAATTTTGAGGAAAATCGGTGAAAATTTGAGTTCGAATGATGTTTCTAAAAGATAAATCGGAAACTGGAGATCAGAATGTAAATAAAAAAAATTTGGCCATGTAGTACCGCCTATTCAGCAGCTTCGATAAATTGGAACGTGCCGCGTGACAAGGCACGCTGACTCAGTGCCACGTGGGAGGCCACGCTGGCGATTTGCATGCCCCGCGATCGGACGACCTAGAAGCGATCCCGCGCGATGGACAGTTCGGATCTGTTTTCTCCTTAGGCGCGATCGGACAGTTGAAATCAAACGCAATGAACGATCGAGATCAAACGCAATGAACGATCCAGATTAACGCAATATGGATATAAATATTTCGCATCACACTGAATCCGAACCCTAGCTGCCAGCCTCTCGTCGGAGAAGAACCAGTCGCTGGAGAAGGGAGCCGACTCCGACTGCCGCCACAGTGGAGTCACCTCCGACCACTAAAAAATGTAAAAATTCTCCTACTCACTCGGAATTTGATTTCGAGCACCCCTGTGGCCATAGTGGAGCAAAAACGAACGGCGGGTGAGCTAAAAACTGCGGGCAAAGCCCGGCAAAGTCGCCGTGGGAAAAACCCGCAACCTCATCTGATGAGCCCCTTTTTGTTTTCTGTTTCATGCAATTTTTTCACCATTGTGTTCACCATTCTGTTTTCTACAAGTTGACCGAATAAAAAATTCCAGCCGCGAAGGTGAGCCGGTGGAGCCTCCGCACCCAGAAAACTTCACCAATGGTTAGTTTCCGTTTTCTGATTTTTTCGGCCAACCGAGGCCTCCTAATGTATTTTTTTATAGGGGTATGAATAAAAGGCTGCCGAAACTGGCCAAAACTGACCGAAAACGGTCAATCCGAGGTAAACCGCCATCTCAAGCAGCGGTGCTGTTGCCGGAGCACAGTGGTGCCGCTGTGCGAGAACTCTGAAATTGGCCGTAAAGGATTTTTAACACTAATTTTAAATTTTTGGGGTATTTTTAAGTATATAAAGCGTGTTTTAATCTTCACAGAAAAATTCAGAAAACTCGGAGACCGCTAGTAGGCACAGTAGAAAGTTCGATATTTCGGATACTGATTCGGATAAGAATCTCTCACCCTATTATCTGTTATAAAATTGAAGCTTAATAATTAATAATATGATATTTTATGAAATTTAGAAAAATTTTGAGAACAATTACAGGTCACTTGTAACGCCCAAACAATTGGGCATTTCTGTTATTATATTAATAATTTTATTTATTAAGTTTAATTTAAAAAAAAAGAGTGCAACGTCAGCAGCCCTGGCCAACCAGGACCTGCCGCGTGGCAAGACCACGTCGACCCGGGGACGGGCCACGTGGGCGATTCGTGTGACAGCAATTGAACAGTCCAGATGCGTCCCCGCGCGCACGGAAGGCCCAAATTTTGCGTGCGCACGGAAGGTCCAGATTTAATCAAAATGGACGGCTGAAA